GAGCATATCTCAATTGTCCTATTCCATTTTACGAGGAAATGAAGATTGTATGTGGGGAGGATTTTGCCACTGGATCATTTAGAAAGAACATATATGATTCATTTGGAGACCATGATGAATCCAGTAACAAGGACATTAACAGTGGATTTTCGACAACAATGACTGATGATGGCGATGTCGCTGATGGTGCTAATGAAAAGCAGAATGACAATTAGGGCCGTGCAACGGTCGGTTCGGTTCGATTTTTACCAAAATTTGAACAACCGAACCATCTATAATTCAAAACCGAACCGAACGATTGCAAGTCGGTTTGGTGCGGTTCGGTTTGGTTTGTTCGGTTCTAACTTCATCAAACTTCTTATCAAACAACAAACTGTGTTAAAGAAAAAAAGATATCAACAAAGTAAGAGATTATGAAGTATTAAACACTGATATAATGATATTGTTTTCAACCCATAATGATTCACAAAATGAGTTTAGGGTTTGAGTCTTTGACTCTTTGGGGATGGGTCGGGTAGGATTTAAGATCAGAATGGGTAGTATTGCACTATATTCGGTCGGTTCGGGTCGGTTCGGGTCGGTTCGGGTTAAAAAGTTTTCAAACCGACTCGAACCTTCCTACTCATAAAATCGATTTTTTCGGGTCGGTTCGATCGGTTTTTTCGGTTTGGACCGAACCATACTCGACCCTAATGTCAATAATGGTACAACTCCTCAGAAAAATTTTAAGAAGGCTAAGCATCCAAAGGAGAAGAAATCAAATGATTCAAAAAATGATGTCCAAGTTAAAGAACCGAAGGAAGGTCTTACTTTCATTGCCAAAGCAATTGAAAACGCTACGCTTGAAGATTGGAGGCTTAAACTTAATAAGGTCATCATGGCTATTGAGGGGCACAACGAGGATGATTTGGATGCCGTTTTTGAGTATTATGCAGATAGTGAGCATAAAGCGTTAACATTCGTTGCAAAGAATCCTACAAGACAAAAGAAGATTGTCGATGACTATATCAAAAACATGAAGGGCTTTAGCAAAATATGGGTTAGTATGTTTCCTACGGTAGTACTATGAGTTAGTATGTTTCCTATAGTAGTACTAGCTTGTTTGAAAGTAACCTGTAGTTTAGCTTGTGGAATTTCTTTAGAGTTTGATCACTATTTTACTTCAATTTAAAACTCTTTTCTATTTATTTGGAGTTTGATAACCAGTATTAGTTTGTTTGGAAACTTTATTATCCTATGAATGAAATTGTAGTTTTTGTTTTGAATATTATTCTCATCGTCTTTTGTTGAAGCTATGGTTTGAAATATGTCAATGACTTTGTTGTTTTTATTGAGGATAAATAATTGGGTTATTCACATTTTGCACCTTGGATGTTCTTTGGTTGCAGCAAGTGTTGTCTTTGTGATTCTCGTCCCCATTTGCTAGCATCAAAAAAGGATCATAACGCTAATATTTACCAATGATTTTTGCGCTAAAATTTTGTTAGTGAGATTATACTAGAACTATTCATAATTATTGCTTTGTTTTGGGTATATATGTTTTAGGATTTATTTATTTTGTTAAATTACTGTTTATGACTACATGATGTCAATCCTGAATATGGTTGAAAATGATAAATAGAGTTAAGAAGCAATTTATATAAAAACTCGATTTTTAATATATAATTAAATTAAAATAATGTTGCCACATCATCCTCACTTTTCTACTTTCAACAATAACTTGTTTTTGTAAACAAACAATGTATGTCGTTTGTATGCTGACTTGGATGCGTTTACCCACTTACAAAAAAAGTCACTTTCATACTTTCAACTCACTTACAACTAAACAAACACCCCCTCGGGGGGTGTTTGTTTAGTTGTAAGTGAAAATTGTAAGTATGAAAGTCACTTATTTTTGAGATTTAACTTGTTTGTCTTATTGAAAGTCATAGTGAAAGTGACATCAAAAAATAGTCCACGTCAGACTTTTTTGCAAGTTCAACATTCCCTATAAAAACGCAGAAGTGAGCAAAAAAGTAAAACATAGGGCCCACATAATATTATAATAACTAATAAAGCTGGTTGCTTTCATCTTCAACAACCCCTGTCCCCAAATTTTCCCCGCGTTTTTTCCCATAAAAATTTTCCCTCCATAGATTTGATCCAACTACCCCTGTCCCCAAATTTTCCCCGCGTTTTTTCCCATAAAAATTTTCCCTCCATAGATTTGATCCAACTGCCTTTTGTTGGTTTCTAGTATAAAATCTCCATCGCTTGTGGAATCAAGCTCAAAGAATTGAGCGGTGAAGTTGAGGATTTCAAGGTATGTTTTTATTATAGTTTTTATCTTTAATTTTAGTTGTAGATTCATGAACTCCTTTTTGAGAGGATTCTTATCTTTAATTTTAGATGAAGCCACATGAATCTATTAAATTCTTACTTGGATTTTGTATAATATATTAGACTTATAATTATCAGTTGATTTTATTCTGGAAATCTCTGAAAACGCGATTGATCTCTACTACCAAACTCTTTTAATTTCTGATTTTATGAGGATTTTATTAACATATTCATTTTACAATCTGATTCTCGTCCAAACTCTTTTAATTTCTGATTTTATGAGGATTTTATTAACATATTCATTTTACAATCTGATTCTCGTCCTGAGCTGGGTAGCACCAGCTTTTCACCTGAGCGGGGGCTACAAGAAGGTTGGATGGGTGGCAAATAAGAGAGAGGATCGGTGGGGGGTTCTTACGATTTGATAGTTCCGAGTGAGAGGTGCACTACACGTTCACTCCTGAGGGAAAAAACTAATTTACTTCGTTAATGCTAACATAATATTTTTCATCTTTTGTACTAGGCCATTTCAGTGATGATCAATGCATTATAGTTATAAAAATTAAAAAATGATCTTTGAGATTCAAAAACTGATCCTCACATGATTGTTAGCCATTAATTAGAGATAAGGATGATGTAGTTTAGCGGGATTCTGATTTTTTTCCTTGGAAGGATTCAGATTTTTTTCTTGATAATTCCATGTATAGCTATAATAGTCAGATAGTTTCCATCTATCAATTTGTCATGACTCATGGTCTGGAAAATAATATTGACAACTTTTTCTCTGACATTCTACTAAGTTTTGTGAGATCAAATATGATGATATGCTTTGTTTTTAGATCGTTAAGTGCAATGAATAATACGTATACTAAAACGATAACTTTTTCTAGGATTCATCTTCAAATTTGATAAAGTTAATAAAACTAGCGTGTGCTACCAAGTTACAATGACATATTACGATGCAAATTCATGAATCTTCAATTTTAAAATAATAACTACAGTTATGATATTCTTATTTTCAATTTATTTATAAATTAAATTCTTATTTTCAGTTTGCTTAATTGTTATAGATGGATCACAATACTCAACGTCGTCTTTTGTTACAATGGGTAGTAGCGGCTTATGCAGGAGAAACTTGTGTAGTGGTAAACTATATTTTTTTCATATTAGATTGTAAGGACCACATTTGTCGAGAACCCTCTATGTACAGAGATCTACTTAGGAAAGTTCATATGCATAGAATATCTTATGGCGGGAATACAACATGCATAGATTACCTTTCATGCATAGAATATTTTATAACTGCAGAAATCTCACTATATATATTGTCTTTTTTTCATGTCAGAACTCTTTGATGGGATTCAATATCCTAATTGAATTGGTAATATTTCTGTTATTATAGTTGAGGTAACTGACAAAGACCATGAGTAATGTTATATACAAGTGTATTTCTTTTAATATGGTTGATAAATATGTTGTATTAAGGTGCTTGTAAGTTTCTTTTCAATTTTGAACTTTCTCATAAATATAATATTTAGTTTTACTTGTCATAATGCTTTCAGGCACATGAAACTAGAAGAGCATATCTCAATTGTCCTATTCCATTTTACGAGGAAATGAAGATTGTATGTGGGGAGGATTTTGCCACTGGATCATTTAGAAAGAACATATATGATTCATTTGGAGACCATGATGAATCCAGTAACAAGGACATTAACAATGGATTATTTAGAAAGAACATATATGATTCATTTGGAGCTCATTTTAAAGGTTAATGGCAGTTAGTGATTCTCGTATTATGATTCTACCAAAATGACACTTGAGATTTGTGATTTCTCTATGAAAAAAATGGATATGAAATGACAATTTATTTTGTTAAATGAGTCATCCTGAGATTTGTGATTTCTCTATGAAAAAAATGGATATGAAATGACAATTTATTTTGTTAAATGAGTCATCTAAGATGAACTTATAGCGAGATGTTGGATATGAAATGACAATTTATTTTGTTAAATGAGTCATCTAAGATGAACTTATAGCGAGATGTATCATAGTAGACTCACTAGTCACATCAGGAGTAGAACTGACCGCTCTTTTTTTTTGGCCAATTTATTTTTCTATCTCCATATTCCGGATCCTTTAGCTCTAGATACTTTATAGTTTGCACCATTCATCCTAGGGTTTTCCTGAGGAATCATGAGTCCCTAACTCCGGCCTCCTTTCTCGATATGATCTCCTCTGACCAAACTTTCCCATAATATCTGGAAAAAAAAATAGATGCACTCATTTGTTTTTCACAGGATGTACATACCTCAAGCTATTTAAAATTGGTGAAATTTTTTATCGAAATGTTCTCAGGTGACAATCACACGTTGATTTTAAGTGATATTTTGCCCAAAAAAAAACATAAAAATAAGTAAGCAGAGAGGCTTGTTTCCAAACTTGCACACTATAAATGACTGCTACTTGCGAACCGAAGCGTGCGGTCCGTGCTCATATTCGCGTACTTGTGCCGTTTCTCATCTACCGAATTGGCCTAATTACGGAATACACGTGCTATACACGTAAAAGAAGACAAACCGGGGATCTCTCAGGGCCCCACTCACTTTATCCCCAGACACCCGCATCTTCAACCTAATTAAACTACTAACATTTCAATCTCGACGACAACGATTAACGATAAACTACAGGCAGCCCCCCTTTTCTCTCTGCCCCCGTCTTCTTCGCGCCCAGCACTAAATTCGAGTCCCCCAAAACCCTCGATACTCTCTTCGCGCCCCCCGTTACCTTTTCTTCTCCTCTCGTCGTCTCCTCGTCATTTCATCGAACATCTCGCAATCATTAGAGAGATGCTTCAGGATGACTTCGCTCATGGCGCTGCGACCCGCCAGCGATCCTCGTCTCCTCATCCTCCTTCGTCCCCGCCCCTCGCCGGAGCTCCGCTAGCCTCTTCTATTCGTTCTTTCCTGCTCCGCCGCCTCCGAAACCCTTCCCCTGTCTCCGCTTGTCCTCTTCCCTGACGATTTCCGCTAAGAAACGTAAGGATGCTGGCGTCAGTAAGTTGGAGCTTGATATCTACGATTTCATGGAGAAATCTGAGAACCCGAGCGCGTTTCCGACGAGGGAGGAGCTGATTGCAGGCGGGAGGCCGGATTTGGCCGAGGAGATTCTGAAAGAAGGGGGCTGGCTCTCGTACGGATGGACGGAACCAGGAGAAGAGAAGGAAGCCGTCGAGATCTCTGAGCAGAGGTTGAATGATGGTTTCTTGGAGGAGGATTCTTCGTCTTCCTCTTCTGGTGATCCGATGTGAGTGAGTTCTTGAAAATCTTGTGTTTTTGAGATTTCTGGTTTTCTTGTTTCTTGAGCTCTTCCTTTGGCTGTTATTTGAAGGGAAATGGAGGCGGAGTCTGGGATTGAGGGGATATTGAGTAGGCTGGAGAAAGAAAGGAGGTCGTCTTTTGCTGTTGAATCTCGGAAGAAGCGACTGAATGGTGACGGTGATCGAGGAGATGCTGGTGAGTTTCTTGGAGATTTTGTAATTCTATATGGTTCTTTAAATTGCAGCAGTTCTTGCCACTTTTAAGTTTTGGTAAGCTTGGGTTTACATACTGAAGGCAAGAATCGTTCCAGATTGCCTTTCTGTTAACTAGATCTAACTTACCGTATTCATATGATGAGTGATTTATGTAAGCTCAATGGCCTTATACATGCAGTGTTGTTAGATAGCGATGCTTCATATTGCATAGTTTTGTCAAGCACATTATATTAAGCGGATATATGTCCTAATTCTTGTAATGTAATAATTCAATAAACCGGGTCTATTGATAATGAAACGTGACTCATTACATTCCTTTCTGGAGAATCTTAGGTGCCAAGCTAGGCAGTATATAAGTAATCTACTTTGCTTGTAGATTGAACATTTAGCTTCTTGACTCTTATGAAAAACTTGGCACAATGGTAATGGCTGCTGCCTTGTGACTTGGATTCGAATCTCGGAAACTACCTTTCCGCAAAGCGGGGATAAGGATATGTACATCTAACCCTCCCCAGAGCTCACAATGGTGTGAGCCTCGTGCATTGGGCCATCCTTTACTCTTATGAAAAACTTCACCAACAAGAAGATAAGAAAATACATGACAAGGAAAACATAAAACGAAGAGGAAAAAAATAACAGGTTGGAAGGAATTAAAATTAAAAAAAATGAGAGAGATAAATTTGCATATGTAGTACTGATTTTTAGCTCTAAAAACTTATAGAACCAGTATGTTTTTAGTTTTCCGTTTATCTCTCCTCGCTATAACCTAAAAGAATAGTGATTCCTTCTTTTTTATCTTCCTGAATTTCTTTGCACTTTTCTTTATTTTTCTTAATTTTATTATAGTTTCATTGTCTGAAAATTTGTCATATGCCTAGCTGTCCGATTCAATCATATCTTTTCCCTTTCATACATTTTATGTTCGTGCTATTCTGTATCCATATTTTATGCATGTTTACACAATTTATAGCCAGAGGAAAGGAGTAAGAAATATGTTCTTTTTCTGCTTTTTTCTTTAGGGTTTATCTCATTTGTCTATGCCCATTTAGGTTATCCAAGATAAAATAAAGGGGGTAGTTGACATATTTTAATATATCTAATCAAATGCCACCTTGTGAAGAACACCATGTACCAAGGACATTTAGCCTTTCCTGTGCATTGCATTGCGATCAAATCTGTGACTTTTTATCTTGAGACTAGTTATGGTCTGTAGAGTAAGATGTACGGATCAAATAATCTATAAAATGATACATTGTAATGTTCTCCAGAATCTTTGTTTGAGAACCAGTCTGAAAGGATCATTTCCTTTATGTATATGTGTATCTGTGCCGACATTCTAGTTTATAACTCATCAATTGAATGTGTATCTTCAATAAAGTTTTTTTTCTCAACTTTGACAACAGAGAAAAAAAATTTCTTCATTGTTTTAAGTCTTTTATATTTCACAGTTTGGAATGCGCTCTATTTCTTAATGTTGCACTCTGACTGGTAAACTGTAGCCAAAGTTGCTTTGCATGTTTTCACGTCCACCATTTTCCAACTGTAGCTTTAGATTAGTGAATGCTTGTATGAATTCAT